CAGCATCTGTATTAGGAAATGGAAAAGTATTAGTTGCTGGTGGTAGTGGTACTAGTAGTGGTTATCTCAACAGTGCTGAGTTATATGATCCAACAGCAGGTATTTGGACAACTACAGGAAACATGAATGTCGCACGATACTATCATACAGCATCTGTATTAGGAAATGGAACAGTATTAGCTGCTGGTGGATGTATTTATAGTGGTTTTCTCAACAGTGCAGAGCTCTATTGATTGAAATCGACAGAACAATATTTTCATTTATTGACTAAATTTATAAATTTTGATGTTGTAATTAAACTGCTTAATCATGAAACGCTTTTGTAAAATTGTTATTAACTAAATAAAGTACGAGTCTTAATTATATTATGAAATACAATGTGAATAATGGTTGTCAAGAAAGAAAGGTTTGATAGAAAACAAGTCATCATCAGTAAATCCAAGTAGATATTATGTTTAAGAAAGTAAATATGAACGTAGATGTCAAATATTTTTCCGGACTATACCATCGATGTGATAAATGTAATAAATAAAATGACTAGTAAGAAAATATGTATACGGTCAGTGTGAATATTGGATGGTCAGTATTGGAGTCATCAATAAGTCATTGTAAAATGATCTATTTATTACATATAAGTAAAAGTCAAAATTTTCAATTTTATCAATAGAAAGCTAGAATTTTGATCAGTGAATAATAGATATTACGGAGGGTGAGGGTGTGTTTGAATTAGTTATCTTAAAGAATTCTAACTATAAATCTGTAGGATTTATCCACAACGAGAGTCTTTTAAATTTCGAAACGTATGCATCCACAGATACGCATTAATAAGTATGAGAAACTTATTAAATAAGGATCATAAATCCAGAGTAGGACTCGAACCTACATATTCCGATAACCGGTCTGGTTAGTTAGAACAAGTTCTGCTGGTGTTTGCTTTGATCATGATAAGTTTTCAGTAAGTTTTTTTATTTTACCCGGCAGCAATATTAGTTTGGTTTCATGATATGTGCTCCGGTGGAAGTAGAAAATGAGGAGTGTCAGTTTCCGTTTCGTTTTTGCGCGGTTTTGGAGCGAGCGAGTTTGATGGTTGTTTACTCCTATGATTAGTTGTAATTGTTCGAAGAGCAAACGCCAATTACTGTTCGTGTATATTCCCGAACAATAAGAGTTTAGTTTTATGTTGGGATGGATATCTGGTAAGGTGTGGGTGTGGGTGGGTGGGTGTGACTGTTCTTAACACGATCAATTCACACCTTCAACAACCTCCACACCCACCAACATCCACACCCACAACCGCCCCACACCCACCCACACCCACACATCTTCCTGAAAAAGCAGGCAGTTTATTAGGCGACAATCAAATTAGTCATTTCAATCAAGAATCTGTACTCTATTCCATGACAGCAGAAGAGTCAATAATCGTATCAGAAATATGGAAACCAGATTTCGATAATTTTCAATTTGGAGATAGTCCACAAAATATTAATACTCACCTTCCACGACAGTTTCGTACAACACAGTGGAACAGATCACTACAAGCTACCGAATACAAACACAATGTTGTTAGATATTTTTGGTTACATTTAAGTCACTTTGGTGATCAAATCACCAAATTTATTCCACCATATATATCTGCTTTTTGTTTGTGAATGAAGAGCTATTTCACATTTCAATTCGATTATTTTACGATCAAAAGCGTCCAAATTATGACCAAGTAATTGAGGCATATGCCAACGTATTCCATTGTCCGATGATTGAAACTGAATATAGTAATCAATTCTGTCATGAAGACAATGAAACTGTTTATTTTTCATACCAGTATCCGGATCAAAGTCATACTTTCATCCAAATTCTTCGAAAAGATGCAACAACGCCCATCTATGGCTATGGTCTTGATTGCTTGGCAACTTACCGTCAACAGCGAGAAGAATCTATTCAGTCATTTGCGTTGACGCAGTGATTCTATATGGTCACAAAGAAAAAGATACTTTCTCATCGTTTTTATTATAGTTAATCTCGAAATACATATATCATCCTGTTGGCGAAAGGTGTGATGACTGTTTTACCATTGCTTTTTTTCTCTTCATTTATGATATGGAAATCAAATGTACATGACGTTCCATCAATAACATATTGGTAAGAAATTTAAATATCTCTGCCAGATGCAGATCAAACGAACTGAAATTATCAACATCAATAAGAATTTTTCACTTGTTACAGGATGATTCCATAGTGTTTTTCTTAACCGGTTTTTGATTGATGCTAATGGACACGAATTCGAAGATTTGAATCAAGCTACTCTATGACCTATGTCATGAAAATCTGGTGTAGGTAGATGAAAGAAAAAAAAATACTTACATACGCACTCTCATTGCTTTTTCTAAGTTTTACAGTTCATGCTCTTTGAACAATCTTGAATATATATCTATATATCACATAAAAGAGATCTAATTGAAATTACGTCTTTGAAACAATTTTACTTAAAAAAAATCATGAATACATTAGATGTTTATTGATTAAGATATTTGAAGTAATAATATATTCTTTCTATGTAAAACTTCTCAATATATCATCGAAATAGGCTAGATTAATGAGTAGATAAATATATTCTTGTTTTTCTTTCTCATAACAAGGACAAAATAAAGTCGTTACTTTTCATTCATTCAATAGTAATTACCCAAATGAAAAATAATTTATTGCCAAGAGCAAATATTGTTGATCAATTCTATATAATATTCACTTGATAGAATCAACATATATTCGTCTGATGATGAAATTATTAATTTACAGGTACATATATATATATAAGAAAAAAAAACGAAAGCATTTATTTGATTGAAAATGATGTTTTTAACTATCATCATAAGTTTTTTTTTCATTTTACAAAATTTAGTTGTTGCAGAAGAAGAATCAAATAAAAGTTTGTAATTTGATTAATTATTATATATTTAATTACTACTGTATAATTTCCATAGATATGACAGTCACATGTAATTATTCTTATATAATTGGTATGATAATTGGATCTATTTTAATTACCATTATTGGAACGGGTTTAACTTATTTAGGGTAAATCTTTCAGAAATTCTTTATATTTTATAAGTCCTATGCTATATAGAATGAAACGTCTCACAAAAAAATTATCTAAATCTGAATACGATATTGATGATATTGAATCAGAGAAAGATGGTAGTCAATATTATGATTCAAATGAGAATTATATTATTTCGGAAATGCAAAATCTATATGAAATTAAACCAATATTAACTGTTTCAGAAGTTGTTTCTTCAGTGAAACAATCTTTCGATGATTTAGGTGATGTTCTTATACCAAATCATTGGTTAACACGTAAACATATGGTTAATCAAGATACTTCAGTTAAAGACGAAAAAAATGATTTACCAATTTAATAATTTTCAAACAGTGATTTTTATTTTTCTCTAAAAACTAATATTTTTAACCCAATACATATTAATTCAATTTCAATTTAAACTCGCATTTATTAAAACTTAATATTATTCTACGTTCAACAATTTGTTCTATTGTATTTTAAAGTAAATATATTGAAAAATTGACACCGTTTTTTTCAAGGTTACGCATAGAGAATATCAATTGCTATATCGATCACTCAAGTCTAAGAAAAACTTCAACAATATTTTTATACCCTTCTATATACAACAAAATAATCCTTTACTAGAAATGAATCTCATGAATGAAGCATGACAAAGGAGATTTTTATTCGATTATTATTAATACCATTCTTACATTTTTCATTTGTCATTAGAAGCAAAAAAAACTTGGGATTCTTTGTTTTTTTTAGTTTCTGTTCGTTATAATAGTCGTGTTATTTCAATACAGAAAAACAACAACGATAAACAATCAACGATCAAAAAACATACAGTTAAAAACCGAACACTGAATAAAGAGAAACGAGAAAAGATAGTTAGGCATATAGTTTCGCTTTAAAAGAAAAGAAAAAAAAAGAGAAGAAGTTAAATAAGAAAAAAAAAATATGTAAAATGTTCAAGACTAATAATAACAATAAAAAGAATCTATAAGATAACACTGCAAAGAAAAAAGAGAGTAATAGGAAGAAATTCCACAAATATACTTATACAATCATGCAAACGAAGTGTTAATATATCTTTTGTTAGTCAATATAACGACAATAGATATAATACAAAGACAATAAAAACAACAATATGTGCGTATATTTGAAATAAAAACGTTTAAGAAATAAACGATACATATATATATGTATATATAAACATACTAAATCTATTTAATAGGAAGATTTTATTGATGTTGAAGGTGAATTTCCATTATGATTGTTTGAACTATTATTGATAGTTGCTTGAATCTGATTGCTAGTTGGACTATTTAAGTTATTATTTGTTTCAATACGATGTTTTTTTAATTGAACTTTAAGTCGTTTCATTCCAATTTGACAACCATTCATTTGATTTATAGCTGCTTGTGCCGATGCTGGATTATCATAACTAACAAAACCTTGAAAAAAGAAATGAACGTTAATAAAAAATATTCAATACAAAAAACAAAATATTTACCAAAACATTTACTTCGATTTGTTGTTTTATCAACAAATACTTTAGCAGATATAATTGGTCCGTAAGGTGCAAAAGCTTGAGCTAAATCTGTATCACTGTATTCTTGTGGTAAATGATAAATAAAAAGATTTGCACCATCCGGACCTAATTGTAAAAAAATGTAATATATATTAAAGGAACTCAAAAAAAAATTGATTGAAAACAAACCTTCAGTATGTTTACCAGCTACTTGAGAAGATATATATGATGATGATGGAAAAACAGGAAACGAAGCTAGAATAGAAGATTGTAAATTCAAAGAATTCTTATCTATGTTAAGTAATTCTATATTTCTTTCTACAATTTTTTTATACTGTTACAGCAAATCATTGAGCATCCTTACATATGTATAATTCAAATTTATTTTGTAATTGTAAGTCTTCTGTTTATATGATGCAACCCTTGTTGCTTTATCATATACTAATAATTAGAAATCGTACGTAATAGAAAAATTTCTGTCTAATATTTATAAGTTCTATTGATGAATCAATCGAGACTACATTACTTTAAAATTATTATTATCGTTTCTGTATTCTTTAATTGTAATGATTTAATCTATATTTTTAGATATTAGTTTAGTGAATAATTAGATAAGACATACCAGCTGCTGCTGCTGCAGATGGATTCGTTGTTGATAAAAGACCTTTTAATTATAATTGATTAGGAATTGTAGTGAATAAAATTTTCATTTTTTACCTCCATTATTTACTTGAGACATTGCAACAAGATTTTGTAGATTGTGATGAGCATCTAAATCGTATAGATTAAATTAAAAGTCAAGTTAATAATTGAATATGAACTAACCTGCAGTAGCATTTGCTAATGAATTAACATTATTGGCATAGACTGGAGGCATTGTAGGTGGATAAAGATTATTATTGGATGTTGATATAGTTGATGTTAAATTATTATTTGGATTAATATGAGTATTTTGTGGACTATTTGTATTTAATCCACACATAAGTACAGAAGAATCAGTATTATACGAAGTATTATTTGAATTCGATGATAATGGTGATCGAGGTGAATTAAGTGTATGTTGTTGTTGTTGTTGTTGTTCGTGAAGATTTAATGATTGATTACTTCCATTTTGAGAACTTGAAGTCATATTTGATGATGAATTCGATGGTACTAATATAGGTAGTTTATTCGGATTTAAATTCATATTATTTGTAAACATTTGTAATAGATTATTCAATGCTGGAAAATTAATAGCTTAAAAAAAATATTAATAAAAAGTCTATTCTTTTATTGAATTCTTACTATTGCCATTGTTACCAATAAAACCATAATTCTTTAATAATTGTTGAAGTAATACTAAATTACTCAATTCCGGTATAAAATTATATGTGTTCATATGTTGCGGATTAGGCTAGAAAGAAAAAAAATGAATTATTAAATCTAAACCTAAACAGATAATAAATATATGTATTACTATCGAATTTCCAGGAGTCATTTGTTGCATAAGAACATTATTATAATTTGGAAATTGTTGTTGAATTTTTTTTGTTTCTTTATCTTTTGGTGTATCAGCAAATTTAACAACAAGTGGAGATGAACAACCCTAAATAAATAATTAAATAAATTCTTAAATAAAATAAACTTTAAAATATTAACCTCCATTGTTTGAGATTGATGCATAGATTTTATTGCATTTATAGCACATTGACGTTTTTGAAATGTAATAAAAGCACATCCTATAATTAGTAAATATTTACAGAGTCAAATTTTTTGTTTTCGTATTAAACTTTAATTTTTACCTCGACTTTTCCCATTAGCATCTCGAAGTATTGTACAATCTTCAATAGAGCCATACGATTGAAAAAGTACACGAATACTTTGTTCATCAAAACTTTTTGATACCATTCCAACAAATAATTTTCGTTCTAAAATAATAACAAAAAAAATGAACAATAAAGAATATTTTTGTTTTCTCTTTAATTACTACCATTACGATTTTCTGTATCAGCTGGTTTCATTTGTACTGGATGATGACTACCATTTAATGTACGTAAATTATGTAGAGCATTTTGTGCATCTAATGCTGCTTTTCTCGTATAATACGTAACAAAACAACAACCTTTTGATTCACCAGTTTGTTTGTCACGTAAAATATTTAATTGAAAGACAGGACCAAACTGTTCAAATATTTCACGTAATTCTGATTCATTCATATTACGTGGAATTTGTCCACAGAACATTTTAATTGCATCAACATCAGGTTCTTGTTTATCAAGATTTAATGTTGAAATAGGAACTGATGAAGATGATGATGGTGATGTTGCGAGATTTGTAGACGTATTCATGAGTTATGATTGATAATTTGTTCAGATAAATACATTAATAAACGAGACGAAAACGAATATTGACGAACAATAATAACGATCATCGCAGGAAAAAGACAAGACAACGAAAAAAAAACACAACTAAAAAATAGAAAATTTTTCAAATAGAATTTTTGTTCTTTTAATTAATTAAAGTTTTGTAAATGATTTTATTACTATATATAAGAAGGAAAAAAATCAAATTACTAAACAACTGCATTTTTTGTTTATTTCTGTTTACAAACCTTGTTATTCTATATGAGAACAAAACACCAGCCGATATATAGAAAGCTGGTCGCCTAGAGAAATGATAGATGTCATTATATGCTGAAAGGAAATTAATATATGATTCAATATTTAAGCGAGCCGACCAACGGTAACACTTAAGATTTAATGAAAGAAAATCTTGTTACAATTGACTCGTCAAATTTTTTCTGTTTGTTTTAGATTATAAATAAAACTTAAAATTTGTTTTTTTTACAAAAAGAACCACGAATTTAGTTTAATTCTTAAATTTTACTGCAATTCACGGTAGAGATCTAACAAACTATAGAAAAACATAAGATTCAGAAATTTCCAATATAGTTGATTAAACAATAAGAAGTATTCTGGATTGATCTAAAAATTTGTAATACAAAAAATGGGTATTTAAACAGTTCTATAACAAGCGATACTAGCAAGATATCTGAAGTTTTATTTAGAGAATTTCATGCACTTGCCGATAATGTTTTATAATAGATGCCAAAAATACCTTTTCTAATATTTTTCAACATAAGTACAATCATTTATTTCGCCGTGTGATATATTGCTAGGGACTTTAGTTTAAAATCTCAACTATCTTATATTGTTCTTTATAGAGTATACATAACTTTCACATAGTTTTATTTATCAGCTAAGACTTAAATATATATATATGAGTTAGTAGGGTTTGTTCGTATTTATTTGTAATCGATAAAACTAATGAAGCATTCGAAAAAATCAAGTAGTTATTCTTAATACAGAACGAAAATATAGCACACCTGTGCATTCGTTAAAAGAGATTATATACAAAAGGATGATTGGATAAGGAAATATATGAAATGTTTTTGAACGAAATAACGAACAAATGCTAATTTAATTTATTTGAAGTGATATCGTTGATAATGAGTTGTGTATCAAATAACACAATCATACTTGATCATCTCGGATCAGTTATACTATCTTATACATCACCCTCCACCATGTACTTCTTTAATCTATCATTATAAATATAAAAATTCGCTTTATTTTAATGATACTATTTGATAGTTTGAATATTTTTCAGATTTTGCTTTGAATGCAATCTTTATCATTAAAAACTTTAAATATTGATGAGAATAATGATGTGAACGATAATATTGAAGAAGAAGATGATCCAAATTCAAAACATAATCGTTCAGTTCATATTGAACCTTTTCATCGACAACGGCGTATTGATGGTACATTACCATTTAGTGAACAGATAAAAATGATGCAATATATAGTTCCAACTAATGGAATCGATGGACGACATATCACTGATAAAAACATGTTAGAAACTGATGCACAAGGTGGTGTTTGGAAAGAAATTATTCATACTGGAATTGGACAAAAACCAACAATTGGTGCTTGTGTGTAAGCTATTCTTTTAGAAAATAAAAGTATTTTTCTTCTTCGGAGCAAGCAATGATTCAGATATTTTATACTCAGTAGCTAATGATTAAAAAGGTTATTTGTAAAAAAAATACATTCGATTGATAGTAAAACTGATTAATCTATAAATGGCATATGATATTAATTCGATCCTTTAGCATTACTTTTTTATTGTTTAAATGCAACAATTGAGTATGAAATATAATAACCTAGTATTTTTTTTAGACGATTACATTATTATGCTTATTTCGAACATCGAGATGAACCATTTGATACATCATTTAAACGTCGACGTTATTTAGAATTTCGTATAGGTAAATGTGATGTTCTGCCTGGTATTGATATAGCTGTTGGTACAATGCAAAGACGTGAACGTTCAAAATTTATTATTAGTAGTGATCTATTATATGGTGAACTTGGTTGTGCTCCACATATACCTGAATCAGCATGGTGTCTTTATGTTATTGAACTTTTAATAACCAATGAACCATCAGCAATTATATATGATGAACAATTATTAATGAAAAATACAACTAATAGACAACAACTCGATGATTTTGCTAAACGTATAAGATTAGCACAGACACTACGTAATACTGGTAATGAAGAATATGCCAATGGTCAATTAGATCGTGCATTACGAAGTTATAATAAAGCACGACAATTAATACATAATAAAGTAACACTTATCGATGGTAAACATGAAGAACAATATCATCAATTATTACTTAAACTTCATCTTAATTCTGGTATGAAGAAAAATATTTCTTTCTAGATTTATTTTCTTATTTATTTTAGCACAATGTTATCTTCGTTTGGATAATTTTGAAAAATGTTTACGTGCATGTCGTGATGCACTTGTTATTGAACCAAATAATTTAAAAGCATTATTTCGTGCAAGTGTTTCACTTCGTTCATTAAATCAATTGAATGAAGCTGAAAAATATTTAGCCAAAGCTATGTCTATTGATTCACAAAATCAAGATATTTTAAATGAAGTTGAAAAATTAAAAGAAGCATTTGATTTATTAATAAATAAAAAATCTGATGAAACATTTATTTTAAAAGAATCTAATGAGTAAATATTTTTGAAATAATTAAATAATTTCTATTCTTTCTGTCCTATTTAGACTTGATATTGATGATATGCTTTCATGTATTGCTGTATCGGATGAATTTCGTATAAAATTAGATTCAGTTCTTAATGAATTTATTGAAACAACAACAATAGAACCGTTTACAATTCAACGTGATAATTTTTCAGATACGGAATATTATTATATTGAATTACTTGCGAAATATAAACAATTAAATATTAATCGTATTGATGAAAATATTATTCATATTACGAAATAGTTTAATATTCGAACAGAACTCACTTGTATAGCAGTGATATGTGTTTTGTTTTTTTTGGTTTTCATGACAATTATAGAATTTTGAAATGATTCATATGATAAAAAGAAAAAGAAAGCTTGTATCTTTGTTGGAAAATTTTATCCATTGAAGAATTTCTTAAGTCAATCTGTTGTTTTTTTCTTTCCAACTACCATTTAATTCTACAGGTACACGAGGGAGTCGTAGGAAGGAACGAAAAAATGATACATGGGTTTTTTCTCTGACGTTTATCAAAGTTTTAAACGGCAAAAACCAAGCTGTGCATGACGAATCTACTGAGTCATTGCATTTTTTGAATTACACTATGTTGGAATCCAAGTTGGAATGTACCAGGATAGACATATATAAAAGATGTGCTGATTGAGAATTAAACTACATTGTGAATTATTTTCATACAAAGATCAAAGGTAAGTTAACTGGGTTTTTTCTCTTTGTACTAGTGATAATATTCTTACGAGTTTTTGATTTATGATGAACAGAAAATAACACGACATGTAGATATTAAAGTTTAATTTTGTTAGAAAAATAAATTTCACTACTTAAATTGAAGAAAGATTTCTTATTGTAATTAAAAACCAAGATTTCAAACATGTCATTAATATCAGAAATTTTTTATTTATTGTAGTACTGTCAGTTATGGATCAACCAGGTTATCGTGCTAATACGGGATCATTCGATGCAAATGTAGTTGACAGCCGTAAGTCAATGAAATAATTTTCTTCATAGAACTATATATATAAAAATTATTTAGAAGCATGTGGATATTTGTCGACACCGAATAATACAGTAAGTAACTATAACATATCTATTAAATTTTATTTTTACTTCGTTTTTAAAGTATAATCCACCATCAAATAATCAGAATGGATATAATGATTATTCTTATAGCAGACAAGGTGGATAATGATAGCAATAATAAGCAAAAGAAATGGATTGAGTTGCAAAGATTTTTATTAAATTATGATACGCAAGAACCAAGATACAAATAACCGTTTCTAGGAAAAAATTTTTATATTGTAAAATATGTTTATAATACATTTAAATAAATATGTGAATCATTTTTTTTACAAAAAACCATGAAAAGAAAAAGTTTTTCATCATTCAATGAAATTCTAAAAACCATACTTGTTTTTATTCATCAGAATTGTCAATATTTGTATAACCATTACTTAATATATTCAAGAATTAGTGACGACAAAAACCTCGTGTGTATAACTTTCTGATTAAATGCTTTTTCTTCTGTCATATATTTGATACCTATACTTAGAACGATAATATTATATGATTCATTTTCACTGCGAATATTTCATGCGTGTCCAAATATTATTTACTTCGAATCACATATGAATCTATATTTTAGACATTGTACGCAAAAACTATTATACACCACACCTGTGATAAAAGATTGTAAAATAACAACGCTTGTGTGTAATAAGTAGGTGTTACATTTCACATCTGTTTTAATTAGGACCATAGAGTGTTTTCAATGGATTTAATATAGCGAATTCAAGTTTCAATGTTAATATCATAAAAGATAATTTATTAAACTAAATATCATACCATTCAACTTTATAATCCTAAAGCTTGTTTAAAAAAAAATAAGAACAACAAATACAAATAAACACACACACTGCTTGGATATGAAACAATATTTTACGTCTCTGAGAAAGACGAATAAGATCATATAAATATTTTTTTAAATTTCACCTAATTGTTTACTTTTAATTACTTAATGTTAATTTAACACCCATACTTGTTAATCTATCTTTATTACGTCCATAAATATCAGTTAAATCCTTATGATGTTTATCTCGATCACATCCAATTGAAAAATTTGCAGTATGCATACGATGTAAATGTGAAATCATTGGTAAATAAACATTTAAATGTCCATGTATAAGAAATCTTACATAAAGATCAAGATCTTCTGCCATACCAACTTTTTCATCATAACCACCGACTTCATCATAAAGTTTTTTACTGAAACAAACGTTACCTTGAATAAAATGGCAACTATCAAAAATAGCTTGAAGCATTTCATGTGGTGATGAATAGACCCATCCATAATAATCTTCTTTTGGCATATATTGAAGATGTTCATTAACACGAAGAAAATCCGAAACATAAAATTTCTTTGTTGGATTGAGTAGAATAGCATGAGCAAAATTATGAATTGTACGTTGAAGAAATATATCATCATCATCCTAAAAACAATATGTTATTTTTATTTTAATTTATAAAGATTTGAACTTACTAAAACACAAATAAATTGTCCAGTACTTTTTTGTATACAAATATTTCGTGCTTGACTTGGTGGAACTTTATGTTCTGATCGAATGAATGTTACATGATCAGCTAATTCACCTTTACCATCTTTACGTAAATCTTCAGTTGCTTGAATCCATTGTCGATCTTTTGTTGCTTCTTTATTATCACCTTGATCTTTAATGTAAAAAATACGTTGAGGTGGTAAATTTGCAATAAAATAATCTTTTGTTCCATCAGTTGAACCACAATCATGAATAATATGTTCAAATTCAATATCAAGTGGTGCAAGACAACTAACTGAAACGGACATAACAGCTTCTTTTAAATATTCTAATCGATTATGACTTGGTGTTACCACCGAGATTTTTAATTTTCGACCATCTAATTGATTCATTTTGAATGAGAAATTTAACTAACAAGAAGAAGAAATAAATCTAAAAGAAAGTAAATGATGTTTTTACAAGGGTATATAAAGAAATGCTCGTTTACAGTCATCAAGTACATTTTGCTTCTCTCAGTTCTACCCTTGCCTATTCAACGCGTGATCATACACGTGCTCGTACATAAACATCGTTTATATTGCTTCTTAACGAACGCTATTGTATACATTTGAATATACCATCTGAGTCTGTTACTTTTTTTTTGCACTGAACATCATGAAAATTCCAGACTGATAATTTATAAATTCTAATCGTTTGTCATTGTACTTACTTAAATAAAATGTTTACAGAGTCTATGATTTTTTTTTTCTATTATCAAAATACGTAATTCTTATATTTTTATATATTACACAATAAAGTGTATATTCCAATAGACATAAAAATCGATTTTTAAATACACAGGCGTGTTTACGAAATGCAAGAAAAAAACAAAGAATAATCATTCATTCATTTATTTATTCTCTACTGTTTTTTTTCATTACATACACAAAGTATTTTTATATATATTGCTTAACCATATGATGGTGTCCTCTATTGATATAACAATATATTTATATAAATATTTTACATATATTAGAATAATCGCAACGAATATTTCACATTTAATACTACGATTAACTTGCTAAGATTGAATGATAGGAATTTTTTATTTTCAATGAAAATAAAAGTCAGGACTTAAATGTCTATTATAAATTAATAATTGAATAAAAAATACTTCTTTTTCATTCTTATAATATCATAAAAATGTATTTAATCGATAATCAAAAATATAAGAAAGAATGTCACATAGGACATTCACATACACGTAGTACCTTACATTTCTTATTCACAGCAACTATATGTGGCGTTTTGTAATTTCCATGTGTCTGTTCCTAGCACACATCAATTCACTTTCGTCTATGAAAAGAAGTGAAATTTTTTCTTATCGACGAATTCGTTTATCTAGGTTACGTGATGATCATTCTGTGACCGAAAACTCTATTGTTCATACTACAAGTATATTAAATGATACATTGGGTAAATGTTTAACACAATCGACGCATATTGATTCACCAAAAAGTAAAATCATTACTGATAATCAAAGAAAAAATTATGCATTATTAGCAATAACTTCATCTTGGAATATAGCTATGGGCACTAAATCACAGGGACGTGATGATAGTGATGAACATGATCCTGGTGATGGTAATGAAGACGATTCTGATGATAGTGAAGAATATGATTCTAGTGAAACAGAGGATCACTCAGAATCAATTTCTTATCAAGTCATTTTTACTTTTCCGTATTCTATTTCAAATGGATCAATTCTTAATCAAACAGTATTCATTACAGATCCAATAAAAAATCACTTAATAGCATCCGTAACTTTGATATGTATCAATGGATCATCGTTTATTATTAATTATTCAACTAATCAACCATTACCACATAATGTTTGTTTATTTCTCTTATTAAATATAACATCACCTGCTACAATAAGAGAAATCTTTACTTGTCAAGTAATTAATGCCAATTCTTCTGCTGATTATGAACATGCGGTCGAGGGTCATGCTGCCGGACCCAGTGCAGTTTTTATTATTGCACAAGGTATTATGATTTTTATTATGATGATGATTATATGTCTAGCACAAGTATTTAAAGAAAAACATGTTGTTAATCGTTTTGGTCAACATCTTCATCGTATGCAAATGCCTCGAGCAGTTCTTAATGGTATTATTCAAGATCCAAATGGAATGCCACGAAATATGCGATCACCATCTATTCAAGATCAAGTATTGGCAGCAAATGATTTAACAACAACAACTCCTGGTACAAATCGTCCAGATCAGGCATTAATTAATATTAATGAACTCACTAACCGAATGAATACATAATATAAATCAAGAAAAATACATATTTAATAAATAAAAAAAAAATTATTAATTTTCTTTAGCAACAAGTACTTCGTGAATACGAATATCAGTTGAATTCATAGGTATGCTATTATTTTCAACAATTTGTTGACGATATGCTAATCCAATAGTATAAGAATGTTTACTTAATGAATCTAAATATCTATCATAAAAACCTTTTCCATGTCCAAGACGACAGCCATCCAGAGAAAATCCTAAACCAGGTACAATAATAAGATCAATATTTGTTGTTGCTATTTCTCGATCGATATCATCTAAAGATGGTTGTCGTATATTCCATTTTGTCATTGGTAATGAATCAAGATCATCTAATGAATGAACACGTACCATATCCATTGATGTTGAACTATAACGTGGAATGAAAACATGTTTATGAGATTTGAATGCATGTTGTATAATATCACGTGTTGATACTTCAGTATTCATATGAACATAAACAGATATTGAATGTGAAGATAAATATTTTGGATGATGAAGAAGATAATTTGTAACTATATTTGATTGTTGAACACGTTCTTCATTAGACATTAATTTAAGTGCATGACGAATCTGTTGACGAAGAAGTTGTTTTGCTGAATGAACCATTATGAATCACGTCAAAGATGTTTTTTACGATTTAGATTATCTTCTAAAAATAAATTTTACTACTAATAAATTCAACTATATGAAATCATTCAGATTTCATAAAAAAATAGGGTAGACTCTTTATCAAGGTCTTTTCGAAGATAAAACAAGAGATAAGTGAAAGACAGTTTTTTTTCTATCAAAAAACGGATTATAAATACATAAAGAAAGAATATTGACTTAATTTTAAAATATTTTTCTGTCCTGCATTAGTCATCTAATTCTAGCGTAGGAATAGTTCCAGAATGCTTTTATTAATTAATTTAATCTGCAATTAATTTTTGTCTTTTTATTCCTTTTCTAATTCACGTCTGATTTCATTACGATTTTAACCAATTTTACAAAGATCTACGGCATTAATGGAATTCATCAAGTCGTTTAAATTCATTTGATCAATTTCATGAAGAAAGCTGATTAATAACATGATCATTTTTGTATCTTCTTCGCACGAAAATGATATAGTTTTGTTATCGGATTATTCATATTCAAATAAATAACAGGTATAAAAGATGTCACCAGATTTTTAAATAATCAATAAATATTTCATATAAATTTAAATATTCATTAATGTTTTCTATCGATAGATTACTCTTATTTTAAATTTACTATGCTTAAACAAAAATATGATAATATTAAATTTATATATTTCTGAAATATAGAGAAACAAACAGTAATATCAAATGTATATTCAGTTGAGACGATATTATCTTTACGTATAAGAAAAATAATTAGGGTGCGGATGTGGTTGTAAAGACAACACCAACACCCACACCCTCAAGATGACACTAGTGATCAAACGATACAAATCCTTCGCGTTCTACAACCAACTCAAAATATTTCTATCGATTATAGTTTTAAGAAGTTTATAGTGAATAGTTCATATTCAAATCTTTGTTTCTGTTTATTTTCAGAATTACTTCTTCCTCCTTAAGTACTATTCAATTAAATTAACTTCGGTTGGTCACAAATTAACATCCAATATATTGGTATATAGACAGAAAAATGTTTCGATTGATTTCTTCTTTTTTTCTAACATTTATATTTAATACAAATAACTGATACAACAAATCATCTCATGTTAACCAAATTATTAAAATATTCTTCGTTATCTCTAGTAGTTGCTGTAAAACGTTCAGTAACTAATAGTCAATCTAATTTTCATTTGAGTAATCAAATGAAACTATTAAACGATAATAAACAATTCAAAAAGACACTTGAATTATTCGATAAATATACGAAGAATAATACTAAAACATTTTCAAGTTACATCATTACACAAGCTTTAAAAGCATGTACTCATCTAAAAGATCTTGAACGTGGAAAGACTATTCATCATCATCTTATTTTATCACGTACAAAAGATGATTTTTATATAACAACATCATTAATTCATCTCTATAGTAAGTTTGAATGAAAAAATTTATTTTTTATGTTCTTCTCTCGTATAGTGCAGTGTAATGATATAGCATCTGCTGAATTATTATTTAATACAACAACAAAAAAAAATGTAACAATATATGGAGCGATGATGAAAGGTGAAAACTATCAAATTCTGAATTATATTTAATTAAATTATATGTTTTTGTCTTCAGGTTATATAAAAAATAAACAAGCAAGTAAAGCAATTGATCTTTTCAATCAAATTGATAAACCCGATGAAATTATTATAAATCTACTTTTTAATACTTGTGCACAATTAGGAACTTTAGAAGCGTTAAATCTAGTGAAACAAGTTTCTTCAGAAATTCCAAAATCATTCCATTCAAATTCGATCCTTTTAAATGCTCTCTTAGATGCATTAATGAAATGTGGTGATATTAAACATGCAGAATCATTATTCGATAAATCAATAAATAAAACATTAGACATGTATGGAGCAATGATGAAGGGTTATATTCAAAATAATCAAGCAAAGAAAGCAATCGATCTTTTTAATCAAATTAAAAATTCTAATGAAGTTGTTATTATTCTCTTGTTTAATGCTTGTGCTCAATTAAAAACTCCAGAAGCATTAAATTTAGTTAACAAAGTTTCAAACAAAATTCCAAAATCATTTCACTCAAATTCTTTTATCAATACTTCTCTATTAGATGCATTGATGAAATGTGGTGATTCAAAACAAGCAGAATCATTGTTTGATAAAACAACAAATAAAACTGTAGAAATGTATGGAGCAATGATGAATGGATTTAATCTGGAAAATAATCCAATAAAAACATTAAATTTATTTAAGAAAATGAATGTTGATAATATTGAAGGAAATATAGCTATTTTCCGTTGTGTTATAAAAGCTTTATCACAAACCGGTGATTATGAATTATCTCAATCGATTATTAAACAGATTCCCAATAGTTTTTTTGTTAATAATCAAATTCAGTATGCATTAATTGATATGTGGGTAATGTTCAAATAAGATTTTTTTTGACATTTTCCTATTGAAATACAACTGAATTTAGGGAAAATCTGGTCATGTGGATCTTGCAAAAGAGATTTTTGAAAAACTTTCACAACCAAATCAGGTCGAATACACAAACATGAGTTTGTTTTATTTGTTTTTCTTTAAAAAAAACTTTTTATTATTTATTAATAATTAGTTAGCTGTTATGGCTTAAATGGAATGGGTATGCAAGCCATTGAACTTTATTATAAGATGCCAAAAGAATTTCTAGACGAAGGAACATATGTTTGTATTTTAAATGCATGTTCACATTCAGGACTTGTTCAAGAAGCTCGTTCAATCTTCGAAAGTATTCAAATGAAAACTGAGAAAATTTATAGCGCTATAGTATAAAAGAAAAAACATCCTCTAGAATATTGATTAATTTTGTATCAATTTAGATTGATTGTCTTAGCCGTGCATCGTTTTTTGAAGAAGCACAAAAATTAATTGATGAATATGAATATGATCATTTACCATCAATAGTCATTTATAGTACGTATCTTTCAATAAATTTAATTGATGTTGCAACTAGAAATAAAGACTTTTCTATATATTTTACATGAAAATAGTTCTTATCGACGTTTTATTTTTATTTTAGTGGCATTATTATCAGGTGCAAGAAATATTAAAAATGCTGGCTTATCACAAAAGACATACGACCATATGAAGAAACTTTTCTCTCAATCAACAAATTCTTTAACATCAGCTGCAGTTCTTCTTGCAAATACTTATGCATCATCAGGTGATATTGAAAAAGCATCGAATATTCGAGATGAATTACAAAAATCAGGTCGAAAGAAAAAAATGGGTATCACACGTACTGTAGTTAATGGAGAAATCTATGTAAGTGTACAATTATAATAAACTCATACACAAATAATATAGTTTATGTTATTTTAGAAATTTCGAGCTCATGACCGCACTCATCCTCGATCGAAAGAAATCTATGCTGAAGTTAAAAAACTATCTGCAGAACTTC